GACGAGGGCGGCCCAGGGCTCGAATCCCGATTCTACGAGAACTACGAGGACGAGAACGAGGACGAGCAAAAGGCACTGTATCAGTAGCAGTTGTAGTAGACTGGTAAGAACATAAACACCGCTGCCCTAATCGGAATGAAACTGCAAGACTCATGTGCTACTCTAACGGCGACGATGCCTCAATGCAGAACGTGGCTTCACTTTGCAGCACTCAAACGCACATGCTTTGCTGGCCGGCGCTAAAAGGATCTACGTCTCAAGAGATCCGCTACGTGGTATCGAACCAGAGAAACAGTGAACACCTTTGCGCTAAGGCACAACATGACTGAAATTAATAGGTACAACACAGCCTCCCACTCACAAACTCACCATGACCAGGCTTAGCTACCTCTGCATGCCAGCTCCGCCTAAAAACCTGACGGTATGGGGACAAATCGCTCCGAGCATGGCATCATCGCACTACAAAACTGATAACCATGTCTGGACATTGTCCCAAAGCACCTTGTCCAGATGATCGCTCAGAGCACCCAGCGAGCGCGGCTCTTTGATCAAGTCTCTCTGGACGCGATCAGCATGGTCTTTGATTGGTGGGCGATATGCGACTTGCATTGCCATGGCACAAGCCCAGCCCAAGGTTTTGAGTGCGTGGAGCGGCTCCTTTTCGCTAATCCCTCGTCCACGCTGTTGCACGACTTTCATGCAGCTGCGTGTCAGGACTCGGCTGGATTTTACTTTGGCAGCTCTGTTCCATATGGCCAACTAATGCTTGAGAACACCACAGCTGCGCTGTGTCAACGGACTCTCACGAAACACACACCATGAGTTCTCTGCAGAGCTAACCGCGAGTCACCAGAGTTTGAGTGCGGAACACACTGTAGCTCTTCCCGGAACCAGTTTGCCCATAAGCCATGATGCAGCCGTTGTAAGCCTCAGCAACTCAACTGTGCTGCAGTACTGCCATGGTACACCAGGAAACACGAGGACGCTTCCATCGTGGCCATTTCCCCACAGGCTGATCAAAATGTAAGCAGCGTGTAACGACCACGCATGGCAGCACGAGTGTCTCGTCTATTATGTCTATTCGCCCTCTTCTAGCTACGAAGATGTATGAACACTTCAACTGAACCAAGAAGCATCCAAGGCGTTTTCCAAGATGGGTACCCCGAGCTCCTGTGACGGCCGAGCCCACTTGTTATGTGGATCATGGCTCTTTGCAACCAGAAACAGCTGAATGCGTCTTGTCCAGTTCCCAATCTCACAGTCAGATGAAGTGGAGTTTGAGACAGGCCCACAAGTAGTACTTGACAAAGGCCACGGAGGGATCTTACGGAGTTGAGTGCAAGCTAAGGCTGCAGACAACCTGCCACGCGGCCATACTATTCATGTTATTTTTGGCATCATCAAACAGCTCCTTTCATAAACACTAAATACGGTTCTATGCAAGCTGTTGTTGACTGCCATGAAGTTGTGGCTGGCCTGGAACACTTGCGCCTGAGACCCCTCTTCCACGCCAGGATCCGTCGAGTTGAAGACCGAGTCCTGGCCAAATTGCTCAATGAAGCTGCACTTCGAACTTCGAAGAATCAATCGACCCTGGTTGCTCTGTGCACAAGACTGCAGGCTAAAGCGGTTGCTTCACGGAGGCGGGACAAAGTAGCACTCGAACATGCCAGCGCATCGAAGGTGAACTGCTTCGGCTTGACATAGTCGCTGTCGTGACCGTAGCGGTCGACGCCCTTTGAAATGACCTGTCTGCAAGGAACATCGAAGCCTCTAAACCGAACTGCAATTCTCGTGCCATGCACGAACTGAATGTCTAACATGCTTCTCGGACGCTCGCGACCGCTTCAACTGGCTTCAACCCTCTTCAAGATCGAACGCTTGGCTTCACGCTGTAGTTTCCACGATGTCGAGTACCTCGTGGTCGAAACGAAATGTTGAGTGCTTCCAGCCGCAAACGCATCTCAGTGTGTTCTTGCAGAACTGCAGAATGGACATGCATCAGTGACCGATGTACTTCCGGAGCTCTTGTCTTCATCCTGTCCCCTCGGGCTCCACTGTGCAGCTTGGCCGCCATTTCCGCCAATCCACCTTCCCCAAGCTCTTTCGCCTCAAAACCACAAAGCTACAGTGGCCTGACATGCTGGACTCCACTCACCTAAGGGGCTGGCACTGAAGGGCCGAATGCGGACAGCCACTCTGATGCTGTTCCTGGGCATCCACCACTCCGCTCGAGAGGAAGCACATTTTCGCAAAATCTAGCTGCTGATTGCCAAACACTTGTTGCATCAATCAGCTACGCGCTTAATAGCATCTGTCTTGGGAAAACCCTTTGTCGCTGAACAACCCGATCTCTGTTGCAATCAAGCTTCGGATTTGGTGAGCCATCGGGCGTGCCCGTGGCACCGGGGACCTCAAGGACATCCGGTGAACTCTGAAGTAGCCTCTCAGCTACCCACAACAGCAACGGCACACAGATGCACATGCCGAGGCTTCGGCAACTGTCCCCCGCGGCTTCGTGGTAGCACGCTTGGACTTTGAGGGCGACCTTGATCGGCAGTCACATGTCCGACCATAACCAGCATGGCACCAAGCTGGTCAATTCATGATGGGGAAGTGATGCAAATCTGCATGGAGGATAGACACCTCAGGATTTATCTGCGCGTTATCCGCGGGAGGCCTTTCCGTAGATACTCGGATGTCGGGAACGGAACTCCTCAACATCTGCCAGTTGTTCATTCTGTTCGTCAGCAGCATATGCTGCATGCACATTCTGCCAAAGCGGCCAACTCGGTCGGAGATGTGGACTTACCCTAATAGCGAGTGCTGCGATCTTGGCAGGAAGACTGAGGAATTGCTGAATAGGCGAACACGAGAGAGTGCGCCAGGTTTAAGTGTATGGTGAGAGTTTGGACTGTGACATACTGTGACCATCTGCTGACACGAGGCAAGTCTTCGCTGACTGCCGCATCATTCTTGAGCCCATCTGCACCTTGCATATCAGGACAACTCAGCTTGGCCTTGAGCCTTTCAGAAACGCAGAGGTCTTATGGCAATGCCACGCTTAAGCTGGGTGGCTCATCTCCAGATCTCACGCCGAATCTCCAGCACCTGAGTCTCTCCAATTCACCGCCCCACTGCGTTTCTGCGCAATCTTGGGTGCAGGGCGTGATGCTTCTGCTATGCGGCCAGACAGCCATCATTGCAAAAGACATCTGCTAGTCCTGGACTAGATCGAGGTGTGACAAGCAGTAGTAAGCTTGAAAACCGCCTTGTCTGCTCCGATGAGAGTATGCTTCATTGATGTGGGTGCCGCTGGGTCTAGATCGAGTCTACATACCTGGACCACTCTTTCAGTATGGTTCAGTTTTCAAGAAGTTCCGGTGCTGAGGACAAGCGTGTCAACGTCCCAGCTGCATGGTGCTGTCTCCCTATTGCATGTGATAAGCTGGAGCCGACACAACAAACATCTTCTGGCATTGGGCTCCACAGTTGCCATGGTGAAGGGACGACAGTGCGCGGAGGCCAAAACCGCAAGCCCGAAACCCCAAACTTCCAAACTTTTTCTTTGGCCTCAGGTCTTGGAACGAGGCATTGCATCCAAAGCGGCCATGACAGCCCGGCACAAAGCGGAGAAGCTGACCCCGGCCTGGCAAAGGCGCCCGAGACACTCGTTTTGTATCCTGTCAGTACTGCAGGACTCTAATATGCCTTAACCACCGGCGCTCATGTTGCGAGGAGTAGCTGCTTTAAGTTTAGCTGTTGCTGCAGAAAAAGGCTCATTGCCACTCGCCTTTTGCAGACAACCCCTGTCATGTTACGAGTAAGCCCGTCCTGCTCGCGATCCACAACCCCACATGCACGGTATTCAAAACACGTGTCTCCTGCACCAGAGCCCAATGCAAGAAGGTCCATGCCGACCACATCTCAGACAAGTGAGTGCTTGTTACCCGAAATATAGCTTCACCTCCTCCCACACCGCTCACCAGGAAAACACTGGTCACTGGTATTGACAGCATATTCAAAAGAAGCGGACAGCGGGTGCGGACAAACATGAGAGGTTGGCATGTGATTAGCCAGGACTGCTTACTTTTGGTATGATCTTTCGTATTAGTTTGAACAAACAAACATTGCAGAGTGGTGTCGCTAAGGAGACATGCAGTCGAACCATAGCCGTATTCGAACGACGTGTGGACGCGCCCTCTCGTGAGTAGCAATGAGCTTCTGCACCTCCAAGTCCAACCTCGGCAGCTACTTCAGACACATGCGAATCCGACTCTGCAACGCGGGGTTCACCGAGCCGGAAGCCCGAGGCCTATTTGCGACAGGTACTGTTCATAGCCTGCGCCATGGCAAGAAATGACTTGCTGATCACGATCGTTTGGATAGCTGCGATGCGAGCGGGAATGGACTGGAAACGGCGGAGTGCAGAAAGCACATGGCCTGAGCGGTCGAGCTCACCGCCAATGTACATACCTGGTCTCGGCCAGTTAGCCGCCACAGAAGAGAAGGTACACACAAGCAGCAAGAGGCACGCGTTGCAGTCTGTGTCATTTCACGTTTGCCTAGTCGGAACAAACATGGACAGCGCAGCGCACCATGCTCTGCCCTTGCACGGATGTCGTCTCTGCTGTTTGCACACGAAGCACCATCGAGACTGGGCCTAGAAGTGTGATAGCCTGCCCTCCCTGCCTGCAAGCTCATCGTCAGCTGATTCTGCTGGCACCTGGTCAAAGCTGTGGGGTGTCCGCTTTCGCGTGCTTCAGCCTCCAAGACTGAGTTCCTGTGCTCTCTGTGCCAATGGATTCGCAGCGGAAGCATCGTTGGTCGGGACAAGGACGCTGCCACTGAAAGGTCCCTGGGCCTCAAATCACAGGGCCAGGGTCCTGGAGACGAGAGAATGCGAGAGGCGGCAGCTCGCCTGCACCCTGCTGGCGAAGATGCCAGCCTCGGCTTCACACTGCGCTTAGACCAGGGAGACGTTGCAATGCGCTGGGCCTTCACGAAATCCTCGTTGGAAATGTCCGTCCGTGGGCGATTATGATCACCTGCACTGTTCGCTGGCATCGACAACAAACAGCTGCGAGCATTTAAGTGGCATGCCTCGTCTGTCTTCTGGGGGCAGGGGAGATCCACAGTTATCGGCAATGATTGCTTTTGCCTCCACCACATCTTCTTCACAAACTGCTGACAATAGCACACACCGCAACACAGCTGCACACGACCTGGTCAACGAAAACGTTGGGTACTCCGGCCTTCAAATTCGAGGCAGAACCACCAAATACAAAGGAGGACGCGATGGGACGCAAAACTCCACACGACGCAACACGATACGATGCTGTTTGCCGAGAGATACTAGTCACTACAGTAAGAGATGCCTCGGCAAGTGGCGCCGAGTCCTCGATTCAGGAGTCCATAGGAACAGCACTTCAAGATGGGAAAGTTTGTGCTGTGTCTGACGGCTGGGTCCTCTTGCAACGCCCGCTGGAATTGGCTGAATGACAATCTCCAGGCACGTCAGATTTCCGACGCTTTGAAGGACAAGAACGATTCTGGCCTCCCGGAGCCGGCATCCACGGAAGAAAGCAGCCGCGCCTCAGAAAACTGGACCAAAATTGCACCCAGCAGTCCCAGCAGTGGCAATGCCACTTAGACCCAAACAAGCAGCAATCAACTAGCTCTGAAGTTTACAACAATCTCCGCGGGACGGTCGCTGGCTTCCAGTGGCCTCCACTCTCAGACTCTCAGACCGGAGTCTGGATGAAGATTGGGTTGGGTGAGACCGGCAACGCGGCGACGCGGAATTGCTCACGGTAGGCTTCAACAGACAATTCTGGCTATTGATGTCTGAACAACCTCACTGTTTGGTTTTCGAGCCTTGCTTCTAAATTGCTCGTCTGGTCCAGAGAGCGGGCCAACGAGCGTGGAAAACACTTTGCAGGGTCATCGTGACGAGTCATCGTGGAAAACAGCGCGAGCAAAAGTGCGGAGAAAGATCTTATCAACGTTCGTCTGCCAAACGGTTCGCAACACACACGTTATCATCCTCTTCGCACCGTCTTGGAAAATATTCCAACATGTGTAACAGACAGACGGAGTGGTGGACTGTCTGCTGCTCAATCGCTTCTTTTGCACATGATGAAACACACCAGTCCATCCATCCATGTTACACGGCCCTGTCGGGTGCCTGCAGCCACAAATGTGTCACGCACCCGAGACATAGTGCCTGCGCACCATTCGACCGGAGTGCCTGCCTCAAAAATTGGGCCAAAGCCTTAGACTTTGAACCTGATCAGCACCGACTAAAGCGCCAAGAAAAGCGCCTCTCATGCGAGTTGAGCTGCTTTCTCTTGGTCAGTTGCGGCCTTTTCCGAAGCTCGGCTCCTTCCGTGCATGCCAACGTGCAAAAACGGCAGCATGCCGCACAGTTCCATGTACAGATGACACATGCCTGTTCTGCAGCACCGCAGACAGAGACAGAGAGAGCGAGAGAGATGTGTTTGTGTTCATGGGTGTATATGTGTGTGTATACATTTATACACATATATATATATATATACACATGATTCAGGGCCCGAGGCCACTACGCTTGGGTTCTTGGTATGTCGGCTCCTTTGTCCTCCCTCCCTTTGTCGGGTTGCTGTTCACAGTTGGTTGTGGTTGGCAGGAACAACGGCCTGCTTTCCAAACTTAAGGCCTATATGTGGTGTTTGCTGCAGCATGCAGCCAAGCAGAAGCTGTAATCGTGACTATCTCGTCGCACGCTGTGTGCATTATGCTTACGTTCGATTTGCCACACACGCTGCTGTTGTTCCCCTTTTCCCCTTGCGCTGTCCCTATGAAAATAACTTCGCTCTAACGCAAATCTCCACTGTGCAGAAACGGGGATATGATGGGGGGGGACCCCGGGACCATGTATGCCCACACAGACTCAATTGCTACAGCACCCGCGGCTCCAGATACAAAGGTGGCAACGCAGACAATCAGCTCCTGCAGCAGTCAGGTCTTCACACGCGAGGGCCCACCGATCAGCATGCAACAAGGCCTGCCTTCCCGGCAACCTCGTTCTTTGGATGCAAACTTGCACCCCAAGCCGCGGCAGCTGTGTGGATGGCCGATGGTACCCTTCGAGATGACGACGTTCCTGGACCAGACTTGCATCACATCGTCAACTAGATGTGGTCTGCATGTGGATCTAGTAGGGTATTCATGGGTCACTAGATGGACTCAGAGCGCGAACACTCGAATCATGCAAAGTTAGAAATACTTTCCGGGACACCCTCCGTCGCGTGAATTTTCAGGATCCGTCAAGACTTATGACAGCGCTTGTTGCCTCATGCTAACGTGCCAACCATCGGAGTGCAGGGCTACGAAACTGGGATTGGATGCCTCACATGTGGGATACTTCATCCCTCACCCAGCGTTTTGTCTTTGCAGCTGCATTGGCTGTGTGAAAGCGAAGATTTGCACAAAATGGCCATGGATCTCAAGCTTGCACGTGCTCTTAGGCTAGCATAGCACTTGAAGCAACTCATTTCGGAGATTGGCTTTCTGCTACACGTGTGGCTGGCAGCAGGCTCCTGTCAGATGTATCTAGGAATCTAGAAAGTCTTCTACGGAAGAATCCAAAGGACTGGATTCTTGCTAGAGCCAGAAGATGTCTTTGGCAGCATTCCCGGATAATGCCTCTGGCAGCATTTCCAATGCATGTCTTGAACACTGTCGATCATGTGGTCATCCACTTTCCACAAAGTGGAAGCACGACACTGTTTGTGCGCAGTTTCAGTTGCTGAATCCGCAAAGATGGTTACCACTGTTCCGTAGCTATTGGCGTTCGTGCCGCACCTTCTGCTGTCTGCCTTATGGCATCCCTCGTGCAAACAGAACTGCCCGAACCGGTCCTGCCCTCCGGCAGCTGGGGCGTATCCAGCACTGGCACAGGTGGACACACTGTTTGCAGCACCTGCAGGTCAAGGACGGAAATGCTCAAGCACGGCTTCTGGACTCGGATCCAAAATACCCTCCCCCCTCTTTCGATCAGCGAGCAGACCCCTAGTCCACATCCGAGCACTACAGATTCAAAGTCTCATTGCACAGCACACAGATCACCTGCTGTTGTGCCACACTCGTCTGCGCCAGATGTGCTGCCAGCAGTCCTGGATCAGCACCTGTGACATGTAGCTCAAGCTTAGCCTCCTCCTCTTCGTGCTTTCTGGTAGGACAAAGAGCACAGACACAGCAGACAGCACTGTCAACGAGGATATTGATTGACCTCCCAAGACAAGCACCGAGATCATGGATTTAAGTGGCTCGGCCTGAAACTGAAAGACCCGGGTGGATTGGCGTCCGTTCCGGAGTGCTCAAAAACAAAGGAACACGTGGGGCAAGATGCTGGTCCTCTCGATCGGTTCTATGGCAGCTCGGTTTGAAGAGGCTCGGTTTGAGGTGCATGTATGGTCTGAGATGCAGGTATGGTCTGGACATGTGGATTGCAGCCTCATTTGCAGAGTTCCAAAGCGACTTTCTGCACAAAATCAACCAGAATGCCAGGGATTGGAGCCGTGCTCTTTGAGGGAGGTCTCTGGAGGGCCTGCCTGCATGCAGACGTTAGGACTGAAGCAGCTAAATCAGATCTGAGCTTTGACTGACTGCCCTATCCACATAGCTGATCATAGCTGTGCAATTTCTGCGGACGAAGACTTAAGAAACCTTATAAGACATGTAGCCACTTTGATCCTTCTCTGAAGCCGACAATCCCTGCACGGAGAGGCGGAAAGCGGTCCGGGTTCATCGGCCCCACACGAGCCAGTTGCTCCAGGAGCTCCGCGCTAAAATTGTCCTGCGAACGGTTTTGTACCGAACAATCGCACCATACTGTAGACTCTGCCTCTGCTCAGCCGCCTCACAGCTTTGCTAGCCTAGAATTCGAACCCTGAGAAAACAAGAAAGTCAATACATCTGAAGAAACATTCGGGAGATCCGGAGGAGGCCAATGGAAATGTAAGTGCACAGGTTCAACTCTGCCCGGACTTCTAATTCGGCATGGCATGCACGTGCCTGGATGCGCTTTGCAGTGTCCTGGGCTGCCGCTGCCGCCTGTCAAGCTTTGCTGCTTCGTTGCCGCAGAATCTCGCAAGTGCTGCCCCGCGCTGCCTGCACATGCGCGAGGTAGCCGTACCTGTGAGCAATGAGCTCTGGTAGACCCAGGGTGACTGCACAGCTCTCATCATCGCCAAGCTGCTCCGAGGCGTCGAAGCCAGCCTCGAAGAGTCAGGAAGGGCGGATCCGCAACTCGGAGAAGTTGAGGATCTGAGGCTTTGGCCATGGGTGCTGCCGTAGGTGTAAACTGCGGCAGCAGCGTGCTGCCGGGAAGGTGCTGTGGTGTACGCTGCCGAGGCTCCAGAGGTAGACTATGGTGACTATGTCCACTCGACACAGAGCCCAGCTCTGGCGGACTGCCCTGCATAAAGAAAGGAGAGCTCAGAGGGAACACCTTCTGAAAATCTTGAGGCGTGTTTGGCGTCAGCTGTCTCTTCGCGATATCCTGAGTGTGGAGCACAGGAAGCACGTACTGTTTGCAGGATTGACTATACGGCACATGACAGTGACTGAGCTTTCACCACGAACATCCTTGCCTGGGCCAGGACCCAACCTCTTGGCGGGAGAACCTATCATGCACGAGCTCGTCCTCCCCCCCCAGGCTGCACAACCTACGGACCTTACTCTGCGATACGCTGAATCAAAGTCAATCGGTGCAAACCCCACCCCCCCAGTCAACGCGAAACGAGATGGCGCGGAAACAAGCTCAATTCGGACTCGAGGATACAATGTGGTCTTTGTACAACAGGTATAACGATGTGGGCAGCTCGTATAAGCCGTTGTAATGTCAGGCCAAGCGGTGCATGAGATGGGCCACCACGTTGACTTTCGCTAGGATGGCATGCTTCGACACATGTGATGCAATGCCGCTTTGTTGTGCCATCGCGGCGTGCATATACTAGGCATGTATCCATGTTTTCCTGGAATGTCACAGGCTCGGTTTCTCCATCTTTGTCTGAAACCTCTGCAGTTTCACAGTGACTTCGAAATCTCAAACAAAGGCCGATTCCGATCCGCTGCCTCGAGTCTGTCTCGAAGCTTCCGGGGGGCAAAATGGCTGGGCATCTAATCGTGCTGCGTCTGCCAGCAACTCGCTCGGCCAGCTTTCCAAGGCGAGATCCAGCTGAGACTTTGTGTCATCAAACCAAACATGCGAGGGGTCAGAACCCATCAATTTGACTGGCCCTGGTGATCGTGCTGTTCCCAAAGATATGCAGGCGTGAAGGCAACAACCTTTCTGCAACCCAAGGTCGCCCAGTGCAGTGTCCTTGCTGCGGTCGCGAGATCCTCCTGTCACTGTCAGTGTCGATGCTGGACAAAACAGCCCCACGAGCAGTGGCAAAGATGCGACCATTTCAGGCAAGCTTCCGAATACAGAGGTGTCTTTGGATAAACCACGGACACCCACTGGCGGAACCGTTGGCGTTGATGTCGCGGACAGTTCAGACATTGAAGCCGCGGAAGTTATCGCATCCTTGGATACAAAGCTAACGAGAGCTGTTTCCTCCGAGATCTCACTACATCCACGCCGAATCCGTATGCTCGGCTGCCAGCAGCGAGCCACATCGTTTGGTTTCAGCACACCCTTCCGAAAGTTTCCAACTGCACTAGCTGCTCTGCCGACAATCCCTCAATTGCCGTGGTGGTGCTGTGGAGAGATTGTCATTTGCTGTTCTGGTAAGGGCATCGCGCTTGCAATGAACAAGAAGAGCGGACCTTGCGGGATTCACCAAGCCAAGCCTCCATCTCCATCACCGGAGTTTTGCTGGAGATCTCTTGAATAAAGGCGCCGATGACCAAGCCAACGTGCTGGTGGACCTGTTGATGACTTGTTCTCATCGGGTCTGTACAGCAAGCGCGGACTTCTACACAAGCTGGTCAGTGCAACCAAAGCCAGCATTTTGTTCGACACTCCGTACAACCTATGGAACATAGAAGAGGATGTTATGTTCGCTGCAACTCATAAGGAAAGGAGCACCGGCTGCAACTCAAAACATTCACAACGCGCACGACATTCCGACGTGAGTGTCGCTGAGCTCTAACACCCCATGCCCATGAATTGCAAGGGTGCTATACGCCGACTCGGATGCTGTCTTCGAGCCTATTCCCTGTACACTCGCTTGCCTTGTCGATCATGCCAGTAAGGAAGGCGAACCTTGGCCGGTGCTACAGGAAGTTAAGAATTTTCAGGAAGGAAGGCTGCAGCTGGAAAGCCACTCTGACGTGTTGTTGTGGCCCTGCATCACTGAGTTCCTTAGCGCAGACATTCCGACATGTATCTATGCAGCAACTCTGTCACATAGCCTGCAGAAGCACGGGAAACCATCACGTAGCCTGCAACTACAGTGACCTAAAGCTCGGAGCTATGGGGGCCTGCTCGACTTACTTGACATTGCGAGGGATCCCAAGCCCAAGAGCTGCAAAGGGTCTCAGCTGCTTCCAAGGACTGGAGCTCCTCGGTGGTGAGAATGGGCTCGTCGGCCAGCCTACCCCAAAAGGAGCGCAGAAAGACGCAAACGCTGCTTCAGATGCGCGCGCGCGCGCGCGCGCGCGCGAGCGCCGTCGGGGCCGTCATGGCCTGAGGCTGGGCAGCAGCCCTTCCGAGCACGAGACGACCTCCGGCCTTGGGACTGCCAGGACTCCGAGTTGTTCGAAGCTGGGGGTGAAAGGGAAAGAACAAAACATCTGCGACGTTGTGCCATGGCGCTGCATGTGTGGCGCGGAGCTCCCGACCAAGTACTGCCTGCAACAACTTTCTATGGCTGTTAGAGTCCGGTGAAGAAGTACATGTCAGCGTAGCTTACGTTTCTTCAGGTGCAGCTCCGCCTGACACCCTGAATCTTCGCGAAACGAAGTTGGGCTCGCACGGACTGAAGTGCGTCGGGACGTCCTGTCGCTGCGAAATGCCCACTGGTTCTGGCTGGAACAAAGCCCCCTCGGGCAGATCCCGGGCCTATCTGGAAGGAGATGAAACCTCGTTCCCGGCCCAGCTGCTCAGCTACGTGGAGAAGCATCCTCCAGGCACATGCATTCCCAAAGCGGCTCGAGAAGTAAACCCAAGCAGGAAGAAAGTCCGCCTCAATTTCAGCTCTATCATCATGACCTGCGTGTCGGGACCTGCAGCAGGAAGTAACGGTTTAACGGCAAGCAACAGCCAACCATACTCTCCAGAATGGTGCGCAGCAGTGCGCCACGGCATGTCAGAACCATTGCACTCGCAGCTGACGCTCACGAATCCAACTCCTGCATGATGCTGGAATGCAAATGCACTCGGCCTTTCAAGGCAGTCAACAATAGACCAATCAGACTGATGATGTCTTCGTTCAGCGTGCAGTAGCCACCAAACACCTGGAATGGAAGCGGCGCTTTATCAATCTGTGAAGTGAGCTGTCGCTCTGACAGGTGGGTACTACCACTATCCGCGTGAGCGGGCATTGCTTCTCAGCACAGCAATGCCCATCAAGAAAGCCTCGACGACTAGAGGCATCAGCGGGGCAGTGTCTGATGCAGTGCAAAGCCCACAGGACAGGAACTTCATGGAACAAGATACTATCACAATAAACAGTTACTCAAAAGCTTTCCAGGCAATGTCGCTCAGGTTGGCACCAGACGACAAGAGCTTTCGGCTTGGGAGGATGCATATATATATATATATATATATTCCCGAGCTGAATGCTTTGGCACGAACTCGAACCACCCGGGGGAGACCGTTAATGCCGTACGAAATCGAATGCTTCTGCCCCAGCAGCAACATCGAAGTTGTCTTCGCGGTTCGTCTTGGGAACAAACCTCAGGTTACCTGGGGGGCGGCGAAGCTTCAGGTGGGCATCGACTCCTCCTTGCCTTCGACTCAAAGACTCTATTCCGGTTCCATGCTCCACCATCGGGGCATGTAGCACAATGAGAACGGTGTCAAACTAAACAGAAACTAAAGAACCTCCGCCGAGCAAGAGTGCATGCGACTCGGTAGGATTGTTTGCTCCTTTACTCTGCGATCGGTCAAAGCCTTTTCGGGCGGGCCGTCGAGCAGCTTTCAAGACAACTTCAACTGGGCAAGCCTTCAAAGTTGAGATCGAAAGGTGATCCTAAAATCAAGGGAATGGTCGGAATGCTGCAAGTATCAAATAGATTCACCAGTGGTTACAAGGTGCGACACTCAAGCCGCAAGCGCTGCGTCATATCCGACATTTGAGATATCCTCCTGTTGATTTCCTCAGGTGCGTGCACACAGTAGCTTGAAGTGATTCAACAAGTCATTCAGCGTTGCCGGCCAAGTCAAATTATCTGCGGCGAGATTCCAGCCTCTGTTCATCCAGCTGGGTGCAAGCCACGCCTTCCTGACAAATGGAAGGACTGATCGCAAGAGAGGAGCGGGCCACGTCGTCCACATTATCTGCTACAAAGCGCGGGTCCTGCAGCTTGATGTAACATTCGTCAGTTGACTTGCCTGAGTTCCGGTGCGGAATGCCACCCGAACTAGATCCTGTAGCTGGTTGCCATTGGCCTTCGGATGTTTTTGGACGTTCATGGAGTAAAAGGATGGGGAAAGCCAGCGCCAAGCAGCAGAACCAGCGGCAAACATTCTCGGCTTCTTCACTTCCACTCAACAGCCAGCAGCTTGATCCGCGCCTCCAAGCAGCATTTCGTGCTTTCTTGACACGGTTACAAAGGGGTGACACAACCCTTTGGCCAACTCGACGCGTGCTTTTCGAAGCTTCACTCACAGCAGGCAACTCAACGGAAAACAGACAAAAAGGACAACAAAACAAGGCCACAGCTTCTAGTGCGAACCTCAATAGCCTTTTCCTCGAAAAGGACTTGGCAAAAGTGGGGCGAGATGTCAGATTTTTCGAGCCCAGGCACTCGCGCTGCAAAGCCTTGTTCAGCTCTTGCGCTGCGAGCAAAACTTGCATCTCGCTCTCCATGACAAGTGGAGTGTGTGTTCTCGAAGAGGTCCTCGCGTTGCCAAATTTCGCGAAACTTGCAAAGACTTGTAAGCATGGACGGTGCCAGATCATGCCTCGAAGTGTTGGTATCGCCTGCGAAGCACGTGCTCAGTGCCAAAGCAACAGGGATAGGCGACAGGCAACATTTGGCCTCTAGACAACAGCCACGGATGCTGGAGGGCGTCGGCCACCGAGATCCGTCGCTGCCTCAAGTCCAGAGGCGCGTCACGCAGAACAAAACAGGAGAGGAGGGCTTTTTGACTTTGACTTGGCTGATAACAATATCCCGTGCGCGGCTCTAAGGCAAATATGATCCGGCTGGAGAGCCGTCACCTGTCACACATCTGCGGATCTACCGCCACGACCGCATAGGTGAAAAACTGCGAATCTGCACCAGCGACACATCTGCCAGGAACTTTGCGTGGCCCGGTTACAAACTTCAGCCAGGACCCCATCATATGCGCAATGCACGTCTACCCAGGAAAGATAAGAGAGAGAGAGAAAGAAAGAAAAGAATGAAAACCAAGACAGAGAACCAGAGAACTTCAGACGAAGACAGCAGCGGAGTGTTGGAGAGAAAGAGAAAGGTGGGGAGATGGAGGTCTACAGGCCGGCAGGCACAGATATTACACACACATCATCACAACAGAATCAGATCAGATGGACAAGTGGAGGTGTGTCAGCTCTGGGGGGGGGGACGGACACAAAGCCCAGAGGCAGCCCGTGCAAGGGTGCCAAAAGGAGACTCTGCACACGAGCTTGCTGCCGTGATTCGGATCAGGCTCCATAAGCTGCTTGATAAGATCTTGTGCGTTCACTGACAACAACGGAAACTTCGGGTGTTTCTCCTCGGCTGTCATGCAGATCGACCATAGCCAACTACACACAACTCTGAATATACTCGATTTTGGCGGCTCTGCCGTCTTGCGATGACAAGCTGCATAATCGAAACCCCTGCTGGTCTTTGGAAGCGCATTGAGCAGGAGAGCGTACATCACTACTCCCACAGCGAACGAATCCTTGGCCGAGCTGGTTCAGCGGCTAGCCGGGCGATAGACGCAGAACTAGACACGGAGCTTGATAACGTGCAGACGTGGCACCAACTTGAACGGATCATAGGATTCGTGGTCCTCAAACAAAGGAGTATGGTTCCCCTTTGGCAACGCAAGCTTTTGCGGATCAAGTTCCCGGACTGCACTGGCTACACACTTGCTTTCGCCATCTTTGGTCACCGTAGATCATGACAACATTGAGCCAGCGAAGCACAGCGATGCTTTGGCACAAAGCATGACTTGAAGCGGCACACTCGTATGCATTCCACTTGCACGTCCTCCGTGGCTTTCTGGACCTCTGGTGGGGTGTAGGCCGATGTGGTTGTCAATGTTTTGGCCTTGTGCAGAGCACAGTAGGCGGCCAAGAAGCTACAGAGTTTAGCGTAGATCCCAAAAGGCGACTGGCCGTCCCAGCCCTTCCTCCCCAAGAAACTTTTTCGAAGTGCCACTCAAGCTCGCAAGACCACCCCACGCGGTATTTCGAGACTGCGCCCTCGCAAGACCCGGCCGCAGCGGGACGGTAGAAAGAACGCGATGTTACAAAAAGTCTAGCGCACCACAGAGGTTTTCATGCAACCGCCCCCCTTTGCACCTGCCACGCACACCTCGTGCTGACAAAAGCGACTGCCCCATTCCCACTTTGCAAGCACACTGTCGAAAGCTGTTCGCTGGAGAATTCCTGACGGAAGGCCTTGGGTGCCCCTGAGTTCAAGGCCAGATCTCCCTACCAATCCGCCCCCATGACCGAAGAATGCACGCGCTAGTTGATGTAACGTGTCAACGGCTCAAAAACGCTGGATAATAGTGATGCACCGACTGCCCTGCAAGTGAACAAACCCATCAGGATCTCGATCTTCACTCCTTCAATCGCTTGACGTCTGAGCCGGGCGCGACGCTTTGCATTCTTTGCTGAGATTGATCATGATGCATGACTGCCTTGTACACGGATTCACTTGTCGGCTGGGATGTTGCCTATCGCTGACATGCTTATGCAAAGGCGAGTTCTCATGGTAAGTCAACGACCTGACCAAAATCAATGAGCTTCACCACGAGTGGTCGACGACCGGCGACCATGAGGTTCTCGAGCTTGATGTCCTGATCTTCATCGCCAAGTATATCAGTCTGCCGGCAGCAGTGAATTTAGATGGGCCGCACGATGTGCAACCCCTCGGCGGTGGCAATGCACGACGGCCATTGTCACCTGTGTCAGCGCCTGACGATGACAAAGCCGAACGCCATCGAATACCCCAGAGGACAGAGAGAGACAAAAAGCCGCCTCTCGAGCATCCCGCTCCGAGAAAGGCTGCCGACGACGACGCAGCATTTCCGAAAAAAGATCGCCACACTCAAGCAGCTGCCTTGCGAGAGTATTCAACAGCTGCAGCCTCTAAGTGCAGTTGGAAGGCAAGTTAACAGCTATTATGTGCCATCATGGCGCATAACAAGGTAAATTCGCAGCGTCTGCTGCGACACGGCAGCAACCCGCAGCTGGACGATGTTCGGATGGCCGCCGAGACAACCCAGAATTTCAGCTTCTTGCAGCATGCGCCTGGCCGGCGAGACGGTCAGAGGCTGTCATGTGAATGCACGTCGATACGAGTGCGGCTTTTCCCCCGGAGCTGATTCCTGGGTCCGCCCTCTGTTGCTCTCGACAACTTCGAGAGGGCTTTGACAAATGTTTTTTTTTTTTTCGCGAAGGCTGGGATGTGAAGCCATATTAGCACTGCTGCCATAGTCTTTTCCTTTCGCACACCAACCCAACCAGTCCCCTTAATCGGCTGCCTCGAATTCAATTTACTTCGCAGAAACATGTACGGCTCGAACAGGCTGCCCAAGCCTTAAAACGACGTGCTGCGGACAGTTGGTCATCACCGCAATCCGCTCCTTGGGCGGCAAGAATGTCTTCCTCCCTGCTTCAAGCCACAAAACTCTTTGTGCATGCGAGCATACGGCGAATAGGAGAGCAATTCAACTCTTCGACCTCTTCAATGCTTCCAAGCTGCTGTGCTGAGGACTTTGACTGCCACACCTTGCCCATCCAAAAGGCATCTGTAGACAGATCCGAAGCTGCCTTCTCCTCATCACTCCAGGGTCAAAGGTAAGGAACATTACCCGACGACCCGCCAGCACCCAACGGGCCTAGAAGGCCTTCAATTTGATAGCGCTCACCATTGATCGTGAAGCCATCCTGCCAGCACTCAGTACACTGAAGACTCTGGGGAGGTCTCCTCTGTCCTTCGTCCTGTGCGGATCCCTTGCGTCTGACATCATCTGACTGAGGTCCTCGGTCTCCTCGGTGGCCCAGGTGAAAGCGCCGCCCAGCTGCAGCTGCAGACGCTGAAGCCACTCCTTAGCAGGCTCTAGTCCCTCAGAAGGAACCCCCCCCCGGCCTCTGCTGACACTGCAGACAGAGTGCCGTGATCGCGTCTGCGCTGTCAGCCTCCTGGCTCTCGATTGCACCAGGCACCCGCATTTCCTTGGCGGCCTTCGCATACGGCTTGGAGCTACAGTGATAGAACGGGCCGTGGGCCAGGAGCAGAGCTTCGAAAACTGCAGCGCAAGACACGTGCCTGTGCAGCTTGCAGAATCTTGATTGTGGGAACGCTGACGTTGACTCTGTCATCCATCGTCTATGGCTTTTGGCGAGCTCCACTCTGACACTAAATGGTTGTGAACTTAGTCTAAGCGCAGGCTGCATCAACATTGATGTTACATTAATTTGTCCGGGCAATGCTGAACACATCCGTGGAGATGTCTGAGTATGACGAAACCGGCACCTAGGTAGCCTAGGTCTTGTGCCAAGACAGGAGCGAATTCACGGAGTCGCGCGATGTCCGTGTCCCGCTGCTCGGACTACACATGGAGCTGATCTTGCCCTGGGACCGCCGCAGCTGCCACGGTCATCCGTATCTGAGCTCAAGAAGAGCACTTCTGCGACAACGCCTAAGGGCGTGCAGCCTCGCACAGCCGGCTCCTTCTGAGCATCTGGCACCGTGAAGCCGGCTCAAAGCTTCCGCCAACTGTGGCAGAGGCAGCTCTTCTCCTCACGAACTTTGGCAGAACAGCAAAAAGAACGCTTCTCTGAAAGCTCTGGGCCATCGACTCAGGGCCATGGCGAAAAGCTCATGCACCGACGGAGCATCTCCTGCCCCCCCCACAAAAAAAAAGCAAAGCGAAGGTCGAAGGGTTACAGAAAACTTTAGACTCTCAGACCCACCTGACGGTTGAACTGGGCCGCTTTCCGTGCCCGACCGAGGAAAGACTCGCTCGAAGGAGCTGTGACCTCATCTGCTTTGGCTTGGTCTTATGGCAAAGGGCCTTTCTCTTCGAAAACGCTGGTGTTTGTTTGGCCCCTTCGGCCTGCCTTTTACCCTGATTTTCCCACCGTTCCCAAGGTCCCTAAGGACTCAGACAAGGCACCCCGCGACATCAAGCACTTGTGACGAAGAGGACGCGAGGTCTAACGGCTCAACTGTGGTCTGTGGAGCTATTGAGCTGCTTGCGGTAGTCACATATGCTGGAGCGCAGCTTGTCTAAGTGAGAGGTCACAGCCATGCACAGTTGCACTGTCTTCTGCTAAACTACATGAGACTGCTGGATCACATTCGGGCACTGCCCGGCATGTCGCTGAAGCAGTCTGAGGGTCACGAAGAGCAATCTACTCGCAGTTGAATCAAGAAAGGTTCCTGGTTCGCTGGTGCAAAGCGAGCATACAACGAAGAGCCAGCTGTTGGCTGTGGCCGCGTCTCCTTCCCGGCAAGCTGCTTACGAGGTCTCTTGCTCTCTCGAAGTGTCGGGCTTCCCTCTGCGACTCTCTTCTGTATGCCGCATCTCATATGCAAGGCCTAAGCCCCGTTGGCTCGCACGAAGTTCAAATCTGAAACAGCAACATCATGTGCTGCAACGGTGGTCTCGTTGAGCAAAAAGGCTGGTGCACATGTCCGCCGTAGAGCAACTGTGCGATTTGTTTGGTCCTCCTCTCCCTCCCTGTCGCACTCTCTCTGTTCTGCAGGTCTACCCATCGGTTAGAACCCCCCATCCTCTATGGAGCCGGGCTGGTGGGAGCTACAAAGTCGGCAGGTTGTGCGTTGGCCGAACTCTCCCGGCAACTTCTGCAAGCAGATGAACGAATTGGGCCTCATCCGCCGTATACTGAAACATAGATTGTCCACAAGGTTGTGTGGCTTTTAAGGGGCTCTCAGGCCCGACACAACACAAAGCTCACCAAAAAAAGAACACTCTGACAGCTTGGCGATGGGCCGGGTGTACTAGCCATACAGCAACCTGCGATGAAGACGTGGTCGCCGTGTTTTCAGTCTGCGCCCTGTCCGGTGACTGCATGTTTGCAGCCCAACGAAGCAGCGGCACAGTTCCACATGACTGCAGTGCTTTGCTACAGCCAACGGAATATGCGAATTTCTGGGACATGAAACATGTCGCTGCGCAGCACCACACTCAGACCACCGAGTCGTCAGGAAGTCTTGGCTGTAACCTCCATGTGGCTCCTGCCACAGCACGTCTGCTTTCAAAGCAAGCACGCCTACGTTGTGAAACCAACTTCCCATGTGCCATCGTCAGGGAAGCGAAGTACATGACATGCCAATGTCATGTACGGCAGATGCAGGATGGACAAAGCCCTCAGCCTGCCAGCAAATTCTCCTACCCGACGCAGCGCACAGCATATTCTGCACGCATGTCGAATTACATGCACACATCCCACGTCCCTCTTTTGATTCTAGAGGCATGGCTTCTGAGTGTTTGGCCTAAGACAAGAAACATCGAAAAATCACCAAGTATCCAGAACTCTAGCTGTGAACATGGATGTGGTGGTGATGTACTGTCGTGACTGACACACGACCAGGCGTGGCATGTAAATCGTGCCAGCCAAGTCCACCCATGTAGCCGTGCGAGCATCCGAGCCCGTATTTGTCGCAGCAGTATCCTTTCTTGTGCCTGGACCAACCACGATGCCAGTTGTCGAACCCAGCCACGCAGTCATAAGGCTCTGCATGTATATGGTCCACCGTACCCATCACATGATGAACGTGGAGAACGTCTCCCTCACATGCCAGACTGTACTTGTCACAGCAGTACAACTTCTTGCCAGATGACCACTTCGGCCAATTGATGTAGTCTGATGTGCAGTCAATCTGCATGGATCCTATGGACTCACCTTCATCACTGTCGCATCCAAGCTCATGCTTGTGACAGCAGTAATCCTTCTTGTTGTCCTTGGACGAAGCAGCTGTGTCTTCAACAGATCGCAGGTCAAAACAACATCCGGCGTGGTTACTTGCACAGACAAGAGTCAGACCACCCGGCATGCCAGTTGGACAGGCCAGCTTGGCAGTCAAAAGGCTCAGAGACGGGACAACCACGTCCGTAGCCGTTGCAGCACCATTCCCTTAGTCAGCGGATGCCTTGTCCAGGAACGTCCGCTGAAACCGAACTACTTCAGGCCAAGCTGCTGCTTTGCAGGAGGCCAAAGATGCTCCCAATCCTCATACCCGGCTTTGCAATCAAAGACCTTGGCCGGCTCCGGCTCCGTCCTCCGGTTCCCATGCCAGATCACATCACGGCGCAAGACTGCGCAATGCGCTCTGTCCTGCAGCCGTAGTGGAACTTGTCGCAACAGTAGTCCCGCTCGGCTTCAGACCTGTGACAGCATGCCCAACTACTATTATTGGCTAGTGCACAGGTCTTCACTGACGACAAGTAGCCACTCGTCTTCTCTCGATCGCTCGCAGGTGAAATGCTCCGCACAACCTTTGCTTTCCTGCGCACAGCACCTTAGAACGCGGAAGAATATCAGTTCACTTCCTGGATCCACGCCGTCACGCCTTCTGCAAAAACACTGGCGCATCTCAAAGAGCTCTCTGCGGCCTCGCAGCCACTCCTTTTTCGAGGGAGACCACCCCCTGACAAGGCACCCACGGCATCCCACGGCATCCCACGGCTCTTACTCGACTCCGGCTCGGGCCTCTGCCAGTTGTCGAAGCCATCGTCGCAGTCAAAACTCCCGCCCAAAAGAGAGTCCGCGCAGCCACGTTTCTCATGGTGACAGCACCATTCCTGCAGGCAGGGTGCTTGAAGGGCGACGGCTCCTGCTGTCCAGAAACGTCGTGCCTTCTTGCTCTTGGGCCAGAGCGTCTTCGAATCAGCGAGTCCGGCCTTGACACTACTCGGCGACTTTAAACGGACGAATCACGTTGAACTTTGCGCTTTGTGCCAGGAGCCGCAGTAGGGCACGGGCAGAACAATCGAACGGCTTTGTAACAAGATCCTGCGCATCTCGTATGCTTTCTTCAGGTCACGGCGTGTCCTATGGACACATCTGCTGTCACGGGCCTTCGCACATCCGCGTTGATAGTGCTTGCAGCACCAGTCTCGCCGGCCTCGTCAGCAGTGACAGTGACGCAGATGTTGGAACAGTGCAGAAGAGTGGCTCTGCGACACTGGTTGCTATACACACCTCTGGCCTTTTGACCACCCAAGTAGGTCGGCAGTGCCACCCTGTCACTTGCTGAAGATATCGCAATACATATCGTGAAAGACACTGGCTGAGCGCGAAAGGAAATGCAGCCTTGCACTCGTACGGCGCGGAGTAGTGTGGGCAGCCCACGCCGTACTGCAGGCAACACCAATCCTGTCGCTCCTGGTCAAGAGAAGGGGAGCGAGGCGTTCGTGTTCTAAAAGTGGCGAACATACGCGAATTCTGTGCAACTGCGAGGCCGGTCCTGAGCCCAGGTGCTTGGCTTGTTCACTGCACTGGTCGTGCAACTGTAAGTCTTTGGGCATCCCTGCACCAAGTGACTCTAAGGCCACACATGTACCACCGGCTTCTGAACCAAGTGAGTCATGGAATGAAGACCAATTCTAGAAATTGTCGCCATCCGTGTCTCTCGATACAGCACTGTATTGAATGCACATGAGGGCCATGGACCACCTGCCGAATGATTTTGCTTATGGGCCTCGTTAGCACAGCAAGCAGAATCTGCCACGAATTCATTTACATTTGTCGACTGCCTTGCTACTGTAATGTAGCCTGAAGTCAAAGGAATGATAAGTGATAAGTGGAAACTATGAGGACGGAGGTAGGACACTTTGAGTCAGCAAGCCGCGGGACCAGTCAAGGAGCGGGGAGCGGCAACCCTCAGGTAAAACCCAAAACGTTAAAAGACTGTGCGAGGGAGACACCCCAAACCCGACAGGAGCATTGTGAAAGAAATGTTGAGGTTGCAAGCGCAACCCTTTAAAGTACGGGTGTGTCCAGTCCTGGGCAATACACAGCATGCCTAAACCTTACAAGATTCAGGGAGTGGACAACAACAAAAACAAGTTGCTTAACCCGAAGAACGATCGCTCGAGGTCCAAAAGGACACAGGTCTCCGACTCCATCACCTACACGTCCCTGGAGTGGCAGAAGAGAGACACGGACAGTTTACCTGCACTGTGACAACCTGTTAAACTCGAAAACAATGGGACACGGTAAGTAGAATTCAACTGTCAAACTTATCGGTGACGTGCGAGGGTGGCAAGCCTTCAACCGTACATCAATCAACAGTGGGAAAACCTGAGCTAGACGGAGCGGTGTGTTAGACAGAGGCATCGTCTTCCATCCGACACTACCAAATCCTTGAAGACAAAATATATACAGTTTCGTGAAGAGAAAAAGATAAGGAAAGGCGTAAAGCTGCATGGCCTTGCCCACTGTCTTGCAGCACCAAGACTTCTTGTGATCGGTCCACTTGTGCTGCCAGTGAGACTTGTCAGCCTGGCATGGGTGTCTGACGACGGGGACTACTATGAAGTACCTTGGAGCACTTGCCGCCAGGACACTGAGCAGTCATAGTTCATGACTTTGCACCCCATCTGATGATGCGCACAGCAATATGCCCGCTTAGCGGAAGACCAAGTGCTGTACGAGGTCTCAAAGCCTGAAACAGAGATCACAGGAACATTGCCACGACATTTTATCGCTGGACGTGTCATCAGGCCTTCTCTCTGGAAGCCAGTACTTGCAGCCACTTGCCAGCCCGCCCCCGTGACACAGAGGGCCCAGCCTTCTCGACAATGATAAGCCTGACAACCTCGACCAGAATGTTGGCAACAGAAGTCCTCCAGGAAGCTTGGCTCAGACATGCTCAGACCAAACGTCCAACTGTACCTTCACTTCCAGACACGGAGAGGGGCAACATAGGGATGGGTCACTGGGCCTTCTAAGGCCTCCGCGCACATGACTTAGCCAGTGGACAGAATCTGTGATGAGCAGACAGGATTTGAAACGAGCGTTCGTCCTAGACAGTCTGTCCTAAACATGGGTTCTCAAAAGGAGTTGAGGCTGTGTACTTCCTTGCGTCTGACACATGGACAACCGTCCTGCTTGGCACTGCTCCAAGCATTTGACCAATGGGAGTAGCCAGCATCGCAATGATAGGGTACAACCACATGGTGATGAATCACGACCTCAGCTTGGATTCCAGAGAGCATAGAACTAAAACTAGGACGATCATCCGTCATTATTGACTGCATGCGACCACTGCAGTTTAACTGACTAGCTGACGGGGCCAACTGCTTCTTGCTCTGGAACATCCTCATGGTGCTTCTTCACCCCCAACACACGAATCTCCATCTGAACTGCTACATCAAGAACATGGAAAATGGCACTCTTTGACATTGGCTGTTTTGGTTGCTCACGTGACCCGAGAACTGCACCCTGCTTGCAGCATCTGTACTCAAGACGAGCCCGAACATACAAAGATGAGGATGCGACGGTGCTCCCGCAGTGGATGCCAGGAATGCCACAGCACCAACCGCGCTTCGATGAGTCCCACATCTGCCAAAGATGCCCGAGTGATCATACGACAAAGCCCTCCCTGCTTTCCCGTGCAAGCAGTGCCATGCACAGAATCGATCTTAGCTGCTTGGTGCATTTCCCCAAGAAGAGCGATGCCTCGGGCCGGCCGGTGCAGTCCAGTGGGACGCTGCCAACATCAGACACCTGCCATAGGATACTCCCGGAGCCGAGAGTCACACCGTCTCCAAGACGCTAGGCCGCTGGACGCTAGGCACAGCCACCTCACTGGAACCAGCGTGGAGTTCGTGGGACAAGGCAGCTTCCTTGGTGAAGATTCGGCAGCCACCACCACCACCATCACCACCACCAGTATTGCACAGACTTGCTACCACCGCTACTGCCGCTGCCGCTGCGACTGCGACTGCGACTCCTCCTCCTCCTCCTCCTCCTCCTCCTCCTCCGCCTCTTGCTGCTGCTGCTGCTGCTGACAATCATAACAAAAACACCACACAGGCCTACTACTTTGCCCTACTGCTACTACGACGAAACCCACCACCACTCTTGCCAGCACCGCCCCCACCACCACTGCACCAGGCCAGTGACCTAACCTTGTCCTGTCCAGAATCACAGATACGGGGGTAAGGCATGCGCAGAACAGGCGATGTTTCGTGCAAAGTCAGCCGCACTGACTTGCTATTGACTGTTGCTCCTGCTGCTTCTGCTGCCATCCCAACTACTCAGAAGGTAGAGAAAGGCAAGAAACCAGCAGGTCGGCTTAGTCCTGCCATGTCGGCCACACGAAAGTGTAGCTCGCAAAGGAGGTGACGTTCAAGGGATGATGATCTTGCCTCTCTTTTTGAACCACGGGTTAGCCCCTGTCAGCCCTCTGCGCACGACTCCAGCGCAAGCATCTCAGGCTTGCAGGGCCGGTTAAGGCTCCCGAAATCAAGTGTTGCGACTGGGCTGCATGCTGCACAGCTACTTAAGTAACATGTCAGGAGAGGGTGTATAGTAGCAGACCGAGTCACTGAGCCACCAGACATCCAAGTCTGCATATCGCCCGGCAGAACCTCCGAGGAACCAGCGTCAACTGTGCCATCCTCAAGCCAAGCCATGCCAAAGAAAAGAATACGATCACTGCTAGCAAGTGGCTTCGCTCTTTTCTATTTCCGGGCTCGGGTGACTCTGCGTGTGTGACTATGACTATGCGAACAAGCAACTTGCAGACATAAAGTCATAAAGTGTTCTGACATTCATAATGAACGGGAGCTGCATCGGAGATTATAGGCACACATTCGATTTGAGGCCTTTCCTCACTTTTCTAAAGCATCCCTGCCTTACAGACGTTGATAGCTACATAACATGTGGGAGGAAGAGTAGAATCCAGGCAGGAGGCTTTCCATGGCCCTCCTATATCTAAAACACACAGAAGTAACCTTGAATCCTTTATGACTTTACGGATTCACCACCCCGAAACCTAAATGTGCTGGAACTGAAGGATCTCACGAAGTTCTTGATCGGACACGCAGTGTGGCTAAAGATCTCCAACTACTGGAACAAAAACATGACATAAGAGGATACGCGAGAGCTCACGATATAGAACCGACCAAGTCACTGGGTGACCAGACATCCAGGTCTGCATGTCTCCTGGCAGAACCTCCGATGCAGATCCAACATCACTTGCACCGCCCTCGAGCTCGACAGCGTCTGTCGCATCTCCAATGACTTCTGGGTCCTTATGCTGCAAGACATGTCAGAAGCTCAGTACAAAGAACCACCTCACTTTTGTCAAACGGCTTCGCTGTTGCTCGCTTCACTGTTCACTGTCAATGAGCTCCGACACTACAGGCCACGTCAGCAAAGCCCATGCACCGTTCTGTCGAGTTTCCGCAGCATCAGACTCAGAAGTCTGCATTTCTCCTGGCAGAACCTCCGATGCAGATCCAACATCACTTGCACCGCCCTCGAGCTCGACAGCGTCTGTCGCATCTCCAACGACTTCTGGGTCCTTATGCTGCAAGACATGTCAGAAGCTCAGACAAAGAACCACCCCACCTTTGTCAAACGGCTTCGCTGTTTTCTGCTTCCGGACTCGTGACACACACACACACACAGCAAGTCTGTTCCACAAGCTCCGACACTACAGGCCCCGTCACCCAAGGCCATGCACCATTCTGTCGAGTTTCCGCAGCATCAGACTCAGAAGTCTGCATTTCGCCTGGCAGAAGCTCCGATGTAGATCCAACATCACTTGCACCGCCCTCGAGCTCGACAGCGTCTGGCGCATCTCCCACGACTTCCGGGTCCTTATGCTGCAAAACATGCCAGAAGCTCAGTAGAAAGAATCACCTCACCATGGTCAAGTGGCTTCGCTGGCTTCTGCTTCCGAACTGGTGACAAACACCAGCAATTCTGGCCTACCCTGTTCTGCCATAACTGAGGCTTGCAAACGATCTTGCGAACGTGAATGTACTAGCGCCGCCATGTCCAGACACGTGCCCCGAAGGACCGTAAAGCCTTCTGCCAAGTTTCAGCATTATCAGACACAGAAGTCTGCATGTCGCCTGGCAGAACCTCCGGTGAGGATCCAGCAACGGCTGCACCATCCTGAAGAGAGTCTGTCGCATCCTCAACCACTGCTGGGTCCTTACAGTGGGCTGCGCCAGCATGTCCAAACAAACAACTGATCTCGCAGAACAAGTGTCCTGCACGGATCAGCACGTTTGAAAGGTTGGTTGCCCCTGCCAACATGAACAAGAATTGATGTCTTCCGTAGTATAGGGATATCTAAGCAACCTGCATCGCCGAGCTTCGGAAGCATCAACTTGGGAAGCGTCGGCGGCGGCATCAATGGGAGCCATGTCCTGAAATCATGGGGTTCACCATCATGATCGCGCCGCTCACGTCACCCTTTTTGCGGAAAAGCGTCACTAGCTCCTGTTCGTCTCTAAACTTACTTATCTACTTGCATGATGAAAAGGAACGTAGTCAGCAAGTTGTGACGACCGAGTTCTTCTTGCAAAGACTATTCTGCCCTCCGTGCGTTTTGCTCGTGTAATCTGCGAAAAATATCGCATTTGGTCTTCTACCGCATCATGTTATACTGTACTATGTCACACTGTACTATATGTATATACACTTTTCTAACCACGCATATAACACACATACACACAGATATGTGCACATACATATCTATATATGTGGAATACAAACATGTGTATATATATATATATATACATACATACATACACATATACATACAACATATAGAGGGCGCACGCGAAAGCATTTTTGTTTCTCCGGGGGGGGG